CTTCACATTTCTTTTAGAGTCGGTAAGATTTGACTGAAGGCCAGGATGCTAGTAGCCAGAGATCAAATAGAAAAACCGAGATCTTTCCAAAAGCGCTGTCCAGAAGAAAACTAACTACCTCTAATACGGAAGCGACGGTTATCACGCCTACCCACGCTGATCTTACTATGTACAGTCCGATGATACTGCTTCCTGTGCTTTCAAAATTTGGGAATACACGCAGAGGAGATACGCTGATGCAAAATGTGCAAAAACCACAGCTAAATAGTCACAGAGCAATAGAGTTTCCTCAGAAGCCCTTATGTACAAATAACCTATTAATTACAGACAACATCTGGACAAAAGTAGTTGCTAGTACAACAGGTGTGGGTCTAATTCACCTGGACGTCTCAAAAACATAATATAGACCATCAGTACCTTTCTCACAACTCCCCAATTAATACGCAGTGCTTGGGCTTAGTATGTTCCCGGTGTTCATAATATATCTAGTGATGACAGTTGCTTGTGATTTCCTATTCTTTACACGTAATATTAAAATATCACAAGCAATCAGAGGAGCAGACGACAATGAATAGCTCTAGCTCGAACTTAACAACATTACGAACTGGTCAGTGCAGAATGTCTTGCTATTGGATATAGGCAAGTGTCACGTTCAATTACGCCTTAGACAAATACACTCATCGGCTTGGGACACACGGATTGCAGATCAACTCAAATGAACGTAGCTTTGCAGTGCTCGTTGAGATTGACCTCAACCGTTCAAGGCAATCTGAGGTAGCAGTGAGTAGATGCAACCAGCGCCTTCACCTGCTGCATAGGGTATTCCTGAGATTTGACCTAACATTTTTTATGTTGTACGTTTCTTAACTGTCCTCACTTGGTATACTCCAACTTTACCAACACTGGTTGAAACGCGACCTAAAGTCGTTGGTGTCAAAGCAAGATGGGATAACAAGTAATATCAAGGGTCTATGAAAACAAACTTACCAGCGAAGTCCGTCTTTGCCAGGTGTTTTAAGAGTACGGTCCCCGAAGGTTGAGCGGCCATCTCATAGTATTGTACACAATATTGTGTGACTTCAACCACTTAGCAATAACACAAAGCCCAGACTAACTGTCTTAAACGGAGTTAGCAATACAGCCGTCTACAGAGTCGACGGAATTACTTATCCCCCTAGGTTTTCTAACCCTGAAAGTCGCTCCAAAACTCAGTTGTATCCTCACCTAGTTTGGACATTATCAAAAGCGACTAGATTTTGCACTTAGCTCCCAGCACATTATTACTAAAATCCCACTATTGTTGGTTATACTACTTATGTTATTCTGCGGGATTTATGTATCAAATAGACCCATGAAAACGACGCATGAATAAGCGCCTATAGTTTATATATAACAAGTATTACGTCAACCGTCCCTTCAATCCATGGTTTTCTGTAAGCTTACACAGTGCATTTATTATACATTACCGTTATTTAGCAAACATTTACTCAGTAATCACTAGATAGGTGACTCACCTAAATTTTGAATTTATAGGGTTTAAACCAATAATCAAATATTGTCTTGCAAAGCATTTGCTTGCTAACCAGTGATAACTTATTATGTATTTCGCATAATTTTGTGTCAGCGAGAGAATTAAAGACCCCAGTGACAAGACTAATTTTGCAGATGCGATCTGCAATGAAGCACTACGGCAACATGCATGACTATCTGAGTGAAACAACCAGCGATTATTTTAAATTTACCTCAGGCACAAATCAGCATTGAATATATGTTGTGCTAGGGGGAGCGATGTCGTCCACCATGATATAAATGTTTGTAACTGCGATGTGGTATTAATGACCTCAGTATATTCAACTCTTATTTGAAATGATTCATACATTTAATGAAAGAAAATAATATTAAGGTTTTAAACAACATAATAACGTAGACCATAATGTTGATTATTATCGATGCAACGAAATGTATTACAACATTGTCTGCAGTTGGTACATCGTTGTGAATAATATTTTGTCTACACAATCTGGTGAACATAATCACATCGATTAAGCATTCGGAACACCCCAACCCGGCGCCATTCACGAGGACACACCCTACAAAATTCTATTGAACTAATTGGTGTTTATGGTAATAACCAGTGTTTTCTATCAGCTGTGTGATTACTAGGGTGCCAAAGCGGGTTACTGGAGTTAATTGATACCGAAAATTCTTGGAATGTGCCATCTCAGTAGCTCTTCATATCAAATTCTGGCTTTAATCTTCCGTTGGCCAAACATCGTCTGTCTTTAGACGGATCAAATTACAGTGAACAAGTTGCTGCTCCTTATAGAAAAGCTGGACACACTAAAGCGTTTAAGTACTCAATTTAATTAATAGACATTGTTCTTGTGGCCTCATTTATGCAAAGAGTATTCAGCAGTCATCCGTTGCTAGCTAACGCGTGACACCAGTTTATAGATAAGAAGAATTGGTGGGTAGAAGAGTCTGCTAATAGGAACATACTGATCAAACATAGTTTCATTTTTATTCAGCGGTTGAGCAAACCGTTTTTCATTGGCCCGTTCATATAACTTTTATCTGCATATTCCAGTTATTGTCATGTCAAAATGGACTTTATAAACCTGCATCTATACATTTTAGCATTTTATGATAGAACCATAAATTGAAAACATTATGAAAATAATGGAGAAAAGCAACCAAGGTTATAGTGCGATATGTTCGATCCATCACTCAAACAAATAAATGTGTAGCATACTGGTGATTTCCATTACCTCTAAAAGGATTCATGAAAAATCTGGTTGTAAACGAATGTTGCATTTAGATGTACGGATAAATTAGCCTCTAAGTTAAGAAAATGTAAACTGAACATGTAGCACTTACCGTAGAGCACCAAGTAGTGGGTTGAAAGGGTCTGTAAATAGTTATGGGGAAAAACTAGAAGAATTGTCTACATTTCTATTGAAAACATGAACAAAAATAGCTGCTCTAGAAAGTCTACTATCCTGCGAAATGAATGTTACTTACTATGGAAACAAAGCGTAGATTTCTGTAAGTAACCAGGGAAAAATTAATGCGGAAGAAGAATGCAGTGAAGCATAACGCATGCAGTTACGATTTTAAATTTTAAGTCAAGGGTTAGCGAAAGTCTGAGGACATCAGCGGATAGCCTTTAAGCCTTGTGAAATGTTTTGGTGGGATACTAGACCAACATGGATTGTTGGATAAAAGCAATCACATAGTTTTGACGGTCGATATCTTGGGTATACGTTGGTGGCGCACATACAGTGCTGAGCTGGCATTCGAATCACTTGTTGCTTACCCTCCCCAAGGAAAGAGTCAGAGTCCAGGAAAATGACCACAGCACAAACGCATACAAAATAGTTAAAGATTAGATGTTCGAATTTTAGACCTTGGGAACAATAGACCCCGTGACGTAATACTATGCATACTCAAATACAATAAAGTTGGAACATATAGACATTATTTGATATACAATAAATAAAGCGGTGAGTGATACCAAACGCTTCTAGTATACTACACGTTTAAAGCAAATTGTAGAGGACCTTATTCATTAAGCTGGATGAGGTGAGTACGCTTTGTGAAGTACCGTATTTTTCAGACTATAAGGCGCACTCAAAATCATTATATTTGTTAGTTATCCGCAATGCGCCTTATATTCATGTACGCCTTAGGTATGAATGGTTATGCTGAGGCCTATTGCCCTTGAAGCAATTTCCCTTTTCACACTGCTCTGAGAACTCCACCACAATGTTTGATTACGACTTTGATAGTTGAAGCATGATTGCTAGCCAGGAACTTCGTGGAAACAACTTTCTAGGTTGTGTAGAAAACGTTTTGGGAGTGGAGAACTCTGTGTAGGAGGCAACTGGTTTGCACTTTTCTGGTGATGATAAACCAGCCTACTATTTAAGCATCCCCGCTGATATCCCATACTGTGATATATGTGATGCTTACTCCACCCGGCAAAATCACTTGGTCCAACAATGCGCATGTATCTCGCTGAATGCAGGTGAGTGTTTGAACAAGCGATCTAAGCTCACAGTTTCCAGACAGTCGGTGATGCCTGTATGAGCTTCACTCACATTATCTTCCAAAATGACGTATAGGGAAAGACAACTGGAATGTACGTCCTCGGGCGTGTACTACGAATGAAGGAACAGTGCACTTAAGAAGAAATGCATGATAACAAACAGCCTGGTCAAAACGAGTCAAGTAGGATTAAATTTTTCAGCGCCACTTGCATGTAGTGATGTAGACGAAGCTTATTCTCCTTATCTTACCAATTTATTTCATACGTTCTGTGCTTCAAGGTACCGCTAATAAGGACCCCCAAATGACACCAGTGAAGAAACATGCTTACGAAACAGATTTTAATCTCAAGGCAATCAGCCACGCAGAACTAAGTGTGAACAGATCAGCTGCGAAACAATTCAGCCTTAATGAATCCACGATACGGAAGTGGAAGGAGCAAGTTGACCTGCTTCAAGTAAAGACAAATAAGATTACCGGGTTAACAAAGCAATACGGCCATAGTTAGAGGACCATATTGTACAGGCAATTACTGAACCTAGAACAGCAGCTAGAAACGTCTCTACATTATCCATTCGATTCAAGGCAATATCGATGGCACGTGCCATGAAGACCAAAGATTTTCAAGTAGGACATTTTTGGTGCTTCCGTTTTATTAATAGATCTAGGGGTATTGGACGAATGAAAGCCAATACACATTTAGCAATACACGGATGCAACGCCGGGATAGTTACGCCACTATCTGCCAATGGATCTTCGGTGCGTGAGTAAAGGTATCGGTCTCAGCTTGTCGTCCGGTTCAACTACTACACATAATTTGCTTGGATGTCTACGCAAATATGGAGGACAAATTGATGTCGGATAATTTTCATCATCTACGTACGTGCACTCCGACGAGAGATTTGTGACTACAGATTAGGCACAGGGGTTATGCTTACGGGTCTTCAAATGTCATGGCTTGTCCCAGTCGGAAGCACATGAAAAAGCTTGAAGCTCCGCGTACTAGCATCCTCCCTAGCTCTTGGGTAAGGGAAAAATCCAGCAAAAGAACCACATGGTGGTAGACATATGCACAAATAGACAACAATCCTGAAAATATAAATGAAAATGCTGCAAGGCTGACCCGTTATGAAGTATGGTTAACTCGGGGAGAATTAATAACAACCATAACAACAATTTAACCATGTATCATAGCTTTTAGATAGAATCAATGTTCGGACTTAGAATGTTTGAAGTTTTGAAACTGTCTACATCAGTTGTTATAAACAAAAGAAAAGGGAACTGAATAATTGCGCAGATGCTGTGATTTGAAGTTCAGTCAAACAATCACAATGTAACAATTACACAATGTACCATAACTAACGTATGGGTACCATTTTGCTAGAGGTTCACAAACGCCAGTTCCTTACTGCAAAGTGATACTTGTTATAATCAGGGCAGTAACAAGATTACCTGGTAATATATATTTTGGGAATTGTAATGCTAAGCATGACGATCGACAATAGACTTCTGAACGGACACATTTTAGTGGCAACTACCGTTCTGGAGGAAAGTCAAGAAAGTTATCACTGAATAACACCGCTGTTTTGCAACGGTGATTAAAAGCTCATCCGGACCAGGGACTTTCTCCGCCTAACCATCAGTAGCTCAATGTAGGGGCCATGGAACGCATGAATCTATGCTAAAGAGCACCTTGGTTGTTCTATTATCCCAAATTAGTCAACTAATGAACCACATCGGGTGAATAACTCTTTAAGGAACATTTTATTATATGTGACTGCATGTGATCTTGTATATTATTATATACGCTGTATTAAAGGCAAAAGGGATGCTTGTGTCTTTGCGTTGGTTATTTGTAGCATAATATATGAAGCGGACTTCCGCCTGCTCTAGCAATCCTGACTAGCTATGAAACTCCTAATCAGCTGAAGATAAAGGGACCTGCAAAAATTTGAATTATAATTTTATTTAGGACCAACTTACTTTATATGGAAAATCTAGGGTTCTTGTATCCGATGAATATCCAGAAATTTTGCATTTACGAAGCAGATAAAATTTGTGTACTCGGCATTGCTCGTTAGAGTTCAGTACGCAATCTGTCAATAGTACATGACGCCGTATATGTTAGCGAGAATTTTGTCATTACAAATAAAGGTGGCAGTCGAAAAAGGGGAAAAATGATGCGTCATATTGTTCAGTGATGTTAGCCTAAGCAACCGGATTTTAATAGGCGATTAAATAAACGATATGTTTGGCTTCAAGCATCGCGCCAAACAAAAAATTTAACATAAGTTTAAGGAAAGAACAAGCTGGCTAAACAATGCTTGGTTTGTTCCATAGCACTATCTGGTGATGCACATGTATACTGCTGAAGCGCACAGCATTCAATTGCTACTTTCAACCAAGTTTAACACAAACTTCACATCCTATAAGTTAAAACGATTATTTATGGAATACTGGTACTACAAACTAAATATCTCTCAAAATCTGGTGAAATTATCCCAGTAACAGCAAGGAATGGACTTGGCTCCACGTGGGTGTGGATTCTCCAATCACGGGTAATGCAAAATTAATACAAGAAGAATATATATGTAAAAACCATTCTATATTGTACAGACTGTACTAGACGTGGTCAAGTGCAATGCGAAATAGATATAAATTAAGAATGAACGCCTTCATGATACAGATTGCATTTTGTAAATTGTAAAATTGTCACCCTGGTTAGAAGAACAGGTCACCCCTATAAAGCGGTTTCTGATAAATTAACTGGTTTCGCTGTGAAAACAGCAGTAACATGTTTTCATATTAAAACATATTTAGATGAGAGAACACTGGATGCAGGCTGTAGTCGGCAGTTAATAATTTTATAAAATTCCAGGGCTTGGTATACCAAGCCAACTGTAACTAAGTCGGCACGTGGCCCGACGTCTTTGGACGAAGGCGTGCGTACAAGTTACTGTATACTCAATACACGGGAAAAAACAAAAGCTGCGAAATGTTTGGTCTGTGCTTTGTGTTTATGCGTATTTTTAATCAGCAGAGAAGGACATCAGTCACCAATATAGATGTGAGCACTTGACACTACCTACCTAATTGGAGAAGTGGCTTAAAAGTGAGTGGCGAAACAGGTTCAAATCGACAGTGAAACTGGAGTTCCATTGGGCGGCAGTCGCACCAGCTTTGTAGGCTTCTAACTTACTGCTTACAACAAAGGCAAATGACGATTGAGAATATGCTTCATTTTATTAAGACAACATGGTTTACCTAGCATTTTTTGGAAGCCCGAACTCATTGACAATAGTTGTCTTTTTGCTATAATTTAATAAGCGTGATATTTTTTCTCAAACCTTAAGCAGATTGTGCTAGTTTCTTGTGGCTAGGTTACCTAGGTATAGGGTCGTAATGCATTCAACACATATCGAGGATGCTGATGTAAAGGCGCAGTTGATCTTACCTCATTATATCAAACTGTCTGCTAAGTGCAGCACCGATGGTATTTGGAAATTATATCATATTGTAGTGGAATGAACCATGAATTAATCGATATATCGTGTGAAATTAACATGTTATCACACATGTTCTCATGCGCACAAACAAAAGCATTACAAAATGCGCAAACATTTGTTGTTGCATTATTCCAAAAGACATGTTGAACAGGATGTTTCTCAAGTCTACCTAAAAGACTTTGATGGTTTATACATTTATAGGGAATGCTGCATTGTAGAAATGGTTGCTGCTTTCGGAGATTGGAGTTAAATGCAAACATCAACAATACCGGCGGTTTATGATGGGTGTAACACAGTTCAAATTGAGAAAATATTGACGCGCATTTCTAGTAAATAATCAATAGGTTTGGCAAAATGTATGTCCCGTATCAAACCAGGCGGTAAAAAAACTGACTTTATCACGTTGTAGAAATGTTCACAATATGCTACCTTTGTGAAGTCCCACTTTTATAGGAAATAACTTAAAGGGTAAGTATAATAGAGGTTCCTATCATTTTGTTCGTATATTTTCCTATGTGTAAACACATTAACTTCTGGACAACATAGCTCATTTTTTCTTCAAAAACGTGACTTTTATTAAACATTATTGACGTTGCAAGATTCTAACTAATTTACGTTACTTTCAGGTTATCGCTGCAGAGGGGGAACAAGCGGCTGCCCGTTCATTAAAGAAAGCTGCTCGCGTTATTTCCACCTCACCTTTGGCGTTCCAGTTGCGCTATTTGCAAACACTTTGTGCGATCTCCGCCGAGAAGAATTCCACCATTCTCTTTCCCGTCCCCATTGATATGATGCAAAACCTTGGGCATTTTACTGCAGGGTTAACCTCTGGCAAATATGCCCCTTGGATAAAGTCTGCCCAGGATATCACGGCTGAGCGCGGAACTGTATTTACGGCCTCTGTGAAATCACTTCCAAAGCAGGATGATCAACGTGAAAGCTGGGCCCAAGATGACGCAGATACGCATAGTGACACAGTTTAACGCGGCTGAAAATTTAACGTCATTCCAACTTTAAATTTTTGAGGAGTACAATGTATACTATTATTACTTTCGTCAAAGAATCGTTAACAAACTTTTGCCATCTCTGACACATGTACTCTAAGCAAGTACAGCAATATCAGAATTGCCTTATCGCACATTTGGCAGGCTTTCCAATGAAACTGATGTAATGCGCAGATATTTTCAACAAAAACAAAATGGTTTTGATGAACATCAGACTTTTATACCACTTTGTGCTATAGCCTAGATACATCCTTGATAGTGCTATTATAGTCATGGTATGCATGACCATGTTGTATGCTTATATACATAAAATATAACCACGCTAGGAAAGCGTGGTGATCTAGACAGATTATGTTTGGTGATATCCAAATTTATCGTTATAATTAACATCGCTCTAGTTTATTTAAAACAAACGTATGGAAAAATATTCCGACTACATTACCGGAAGAAAATGTACAACTAAGAAATACTTGTAAAATAGAACTGTGTGGTGCCAGTGTGTATTAGATATGGTCAATACAACACATTTAAGTGCAATTGCAAATGTTTTGATTAAGCCTGAGTATAAACATGAAATCCTTTTTTATCGGTGAACCTGTGTTATACCAACGTTTTATATTACATAATTTGAGTGACATAATGCTATTGTTAATCAATGACATCTGTAGCTTCAAATTACTATTTAAACTACGATACAACTGCTGTATTTATTATCATAATTTGAAGTCTTATTAGAGATCATGCGCAAAACGCTCGCCGGTTGAATATCCATTGAGTTCAATTGCTTTAAAGTATATAATAAATTTTAAACGTTACACTAATACTGACAAAACCTTTCTAGAATAGAATATTTGCAAGATTTAAAGTTTTTTGATAAATTTTTAAAGCCACCGCACTGTGGGCTTTAATAAATCCATATGTGAATTGTATGAACTAACCTGATTATTTTTTTATCAGCAAGGCTGGGCCAGCAATGAAATGCTTTTTTTGAAAACTAGTAAATACTTATTGGATATTTGGGCTTCGGAACAGTTATGATCTAATTATATGCCCTTAATAATGAGCATGTCTAACTAGCACAGCCAGACTGTATCTTTCATAAAACGCACGCATGAATAAAGGAACTGTTTGAGGACTCATGTCATTAGCTCGCCTTGCATAAAATAAGGGTGGTCAGACTGTGGACGGAATAGTTGTCCATAGTATTCTGTTTCGTTACTGTAACCCGTTTATCGCCTTCAACTTTAAATGAAATTTTGTTGAGTAAGCGGGTATGTTGAAAGGGCGTGGCAAAATTGTTTGACGGTGAATCACACCCCAAATAGTCAGTGACCTGATAAGACCAGGTTATCAATGCGATAAGAAGGTTGCCCAAAACAAAATCCTAAATGTACTGATTAACTCTCCGCCAAATATTTATCCCATGCGTTCAAAGTAATATTGTTGGGCTTCGGAAATTAACGTGTTAATAATATGCCAAGTTAATTTTAAACAGTGGCATATGTGTACGTTTGTAGCTTTAAATCATTATGTACATAGTTCATCTTATAAGCATACGCAACATGAGAGACTGCGCACCATCGTCGATATTTGAAATCCGAATATCAACGCGGGCGAGGTCTTACCATGGACCATGCTGCGAAATGTGCCATCGCTTTTTCTTCAATCAAGTGAAATTTTATTGAAATTTGCCTAAGTCTATAATCGATAAAAAATTAATAAACGTGGCTTATTCGTTTTCATGCTTGGCCTACGTTCGCTAGATAATCAGTTGGCTCGGGTTTATTTTCAGCGCCGTATTCGACAGGATTGCTCGAAAAATGCGTTGTAAACTCCTGTATGTATTGAATCAGTTGTTTTACACTTTATTTATGTATTAGATACAGAAGATATATGTGGCTTCCTATAAACATTTGTGGAAAATGTTCCTTTGCTAGGGGCAACTGGCTGAGGAAAATCTCTGATTCATAAATTTGCTTGAACGAAAACTTTTTGGTTGGAGAACATGGTGTCTTTAGTCCGCTTTCTAATCACGAGTTTTTCCGAGCGATGGGCATAGACCGTACGGCTTGCGCACTATGCAACTCAAGTTAAGTTAAACCATTTTATTACAGGAAATGCAAAACCACTAAGAGTAATGTACACTTGCTTATCCAAATAAATATCATTAAGCAGTGTATGAGTAAATGACTACAACAACCACATAATTTTAACAGCAATTGCTTTTTGCAACATTAACACAAACAATGAATTTTATTAGCGCTGGGTGTTTTGCGATAATGCTAGTCAGTCTCGGAATGCTTTTGATACTTAATATATAACAAACGGCGGTTATGGAAACAGTTGTTTACACAAAACCGTTTTCTTTATGCAGGAATACTATCAATACAGCTAGTATAACGATAAGTCGTAAACATTTAATCACAGGAATTTTTCCTGAAATGGTTCAAATTTACAAAATGTTTTATTATCTTTAGTATAAGAACACATAACTAAACTTTTAAGTGCAAAGGTAAGCATTTGGGTTTAAAGTTTACGAACGCTCAAATATTTAATCGAATGACAGTGACCACAATTGTTGATTAAAATTCGTCGGTCCTTGCGAATCTGCTATAACTAGTTTTGAAATATTTGATCTTCAGAGCTCACCTAGAAGAAATTAAAATTGAGCAATATGAACTTATTTGCTTAGGGAAAACATTTACGAAGTTAAGGTGGTGTTTGTGCCGAACTTACATTTATCATTGATAAATGAGTTCATTTTGTCGCTCTGCCGACTGTCACACATTTTTCTGATAAAATCAGGATTGTTTGTCCGATCGATAATCAAGAAACTCTCACTATTTGGCAGCAAGACCTTACCTTACTTTTGTGCAGGCAACACATAATTTACTATTTTTGACGCCGACAAATGTACAACAATACGTGTATATCACATGCTTCGGCTGTTCTGAACAAACTGTGTTATCTTATACCCGGAACCGATATTTTGGTGTCGTGCAAAGTGTGATTGAAAGCCCTGACCCTTCCTTCATCGTTCAACTTATAAATGCATATGTAAAGACCCATCAGGATTATGCGATGTAGGCTACGCAACGCTTACTAAAACGCATTACAGTTGACGTTGTGAGTCTACAGCGAATGGTAACGGAATAATTTTAATGAGTTTTTCTCTGTAATTGAAGCAGCAACTAAGATACAAATAAGTGGGGAGAGCAGCTGATCGCCTACGGAAGGTTAACATGACCCTGAAGCATCAGGATTAAAATAAGTCATAGCAACGTATGCCGTCACCTCTAAAATTTAGCCTCTACATAAACATATAACGTCACCAGCTGAAACTTGCCACCCAAAGTAGCTTGCTTTATTGAGGCCGAACATTTACGCACCATGTTTATCAGCCGTGTAACACTTCTGCATTTTGATACTACTGCGACTACGTTTCCCATTATTAAGCAGCCGTACGACGACGCATTTTACATCTGCGGGACTTGATATGAACCCCACTAAAACAGTGCAAACATTGCGAACGCACTGAGGAAGCGTTTGTTGCGCATGGTAGTTCCCAGGAAATAAAAGTTGAGGGACTTGAATGTGTCTAATTTTCTTATGATGACCTGTTAACTAATACTTGGTTTAACTAGGTGTTCAACTTTGTATACTTCATATCATGTAACTGACATACACCGCCTTATAGAAATCGTTAATTCTTAGCAGATCAGCGCTTTGAAATTTGATATGGAAAAGCCGACACTTTTTGAAGGTTCAAAGATTTATGGCCACGTCAGTTGTATACAGATCAACCAAGTATTCAGACCGGTATTGTGGAGGGGCCGCTTCCAAGAGTGCCTCGGGGAAGCTCTTCGGAGCTAGCTGAGAGCGATCGAGAAGGACGGCTAGCGACGAGCCTTTGCCCGGAACTACGGAGCGGGAATATGTGGACAGCGCAATAATTCAGAAAATACGCCGCTAGCGCAGCCCACAGGACCGAGGCCGAGCCGATTGACACAGCCCAGAACAAGCAAGTCGTGAGCTCTCGAACGACTCCTGGCCGATCCAAATCGGGTACAGAGAAGTGGAGATCCAGGCGAAATCAGGAAGGCGGGTCTTCCAAGTCACAGCTCCCGAGGCGAAAGTACTGGCTCGTCTCTAACATCCGTACCTGTGTTAGGTTGTGGGACGGAAATCTAGTCAATATTCGGTGGCGCGCGCGAGACCCTCATGTGGTCATTTTCGGTGGGCAATAAACGTCCACCTCCCCTGTCGTGTCGTTTTCGCTACATTATGAAAAGTGGCACCGCTTATAAACGTCCGTGAATGTTCACAAAATTTGCAAGTAGATAACACTTTTTAATTTTAATCACTCAGTCAATTTTGACTAAGCAACTTATGCACCGACACATTAAACTTTAGTGTTAAGCTTTAGTGTTGGTATGACAAATCCCAATCTGTTGAAAACGACCAACGACAAGTGGGCGTTGATTCAGTTTCTACAAGAATCATGTACGGATCAGTATTTGTAAATGTAAACTATGTTGTATCGTATTCTCTGCGCATCAGCTTTACTGACAAAACGTGCACCTACCTTAGACATTCCCGTGTAGTCGCAAGTAAGATAACGTATTTTATAAACAGGAAATATAATGAAGCTCACAAAGTTATCGTCCCCATCACTTTTCAATTCCATGTATTTTAACCGTACTGTAGAGAAAAATAAGTAGGTTGATTATTACAGCAAATGTCAAGGCAGATTGCTCTCCTCGTGTCTGAAACCTCTAGATGACTCGTTTGTCCGATTGGGTCGCGTAATTAGTTTGTACCTACCAGGTGCCTAAGGATCCGAACCCATGAACACCGGCGAATTCAAACGCCCACCAGCAGTTAATACCACTTAGCTATAAGAAAAGCGGAACATCGTAATGATTTTCAGCCCTCCAGGGATCAATGGAACAATGGCATTTTATACAGATAAAAAAGCCACAGCTTAACGGGTTTCGTAGGACTTTCTGGTAAAACGTTAAAATATAGCAAATATTTGTCAGCAAAGTTTGGTCCACACTGGAAGACTCACCACGTTATGCGCAGTATAAAATACAAATCTATTGTAAATCTGCATGGGATAAATCCAAATGATACCTTAAGTAACAATGTGCTACATCCTGATGAACACTAACAAGTGGGATGTGGAACGCATTCGGGGAGTC